TTTTAAAACATTATTTATTTAAAACAAGCTCACAAACAATGTTTAGGTTAACAGAAAAATTACAAACTTTTTAGGCCAATATGTTCAACTAGTCGTGAATACCTTCGGTATTGTGTCACTCAACTCTTCTTTGTCATGAAATGCATGAAAAATCAACTTCAGGTCTCATTCACTCAGACCTGTCTGCTACTGTGCAGAAAGTTTCAAACCGAACATCTGGGACATTTTGAGTCAGTCGCTGTGTTTTCATTACCAATGTAGGCAAAACTTTGTTTATATTCCACTAATGTAAAAAAAACACCATGCAGGTGTTTCTATTGAATAAGAAACATAATTAAAATTACACTTTATAAATTAAGTCATAAAAAACACGCCAAGTCGTCATCCTGTTACCACTTCTTGTCGTCTTCTTTGTCGTTTCTGCCAGTAGTTACATCCTGTTGTTGATCATGTGACTCATGAGATGCAAACAAAGGGTTTCCATTGCAGTTTTGCAAAATTTGAATGAAATGTTTTTTCAATTTTGAAAAACATGGTTTTTTTTGTTTTGTTCTTTTCAAAATTGTTGTTTCTGGTAAGCTAATTTATTTTCGTATTTCCAATTTGCGCATTTTTACCCAGCTACTGTTTCCCATCTCTCCATATATTTACTTGTTAAAGATACATAACCCTTTATTTCCACTTTAATTCAAGTAATAACTCAAATCATCAGGAAGCTACCAGGTTTCTTCTTTTTGTTACGTTTCTTCTCACGCTTCTTTGTTCAAATAAAATTCTAATGTTGAATTTTTTGTAAGTTTGAAAAATTGACAGCAGATTCTGCCTCAACACTTTGCAGTCAAACAGTAAAATATGCTTGGCCCCAATTCCAGACCTGGGCAAAGTTTCTTTGCAAACATTTCTGATTTATTTTACAAGTCAACACACCTACTGTGCTGAATTCTTATATTTTGCCTTATAAATTGCTTCCACCCCCTCCATCAGTTGGTAATATTCGCAACAAGTCCCATATTTTTTGGCCCAATTTTTCCGCCGCCCATCTGATTGATGGTAAAGCCGGGCCTCCGCAGTAGGAGCCGGCTGTTTACGCCGAGGTGAATTGGCTCCTGGGAGTTTTCAGCTGGACTTAGAAAAACAAACAATATTCGTGTCATGATCTTCTGCGTCTCTGTGAAATAAAACAACAGCTCTGGATTTATTAGGTTGTTTTCCTGAAACGATATTTGTTTGCAGGTTAAAGGAAGTGTCTCTTAGTTTGACTTTGAGTCTCCAGCGGAGAGTAGCACCTTTTCGTTTCCGGGACGTTTTGTGTTTTAATTATTATCTGGCTTTATCCACGTAATAAAACCGAATGTGAACGTGTTGGAACAGCTGCTACAAGCTGTCACACATTAAAAAGAAGCTCTAAAACGGAGAATGAAGGAAATTGGCACAGACCAACACAAGCAACAAAAATGTCATCTGTCGTGGAAGATTTGGAAAGCTCCCATGAAGAGCCCTGAAATGATATTGCATGTATAACCGCAGACAAATAAATAAGCGCCGCTTTCTCAGTTTGAATTAAATCAGCCTCAGACATTGATTGGAACGAGGGTTTCATAGCATGTAATTGCCTCTGTGATTCTGATCATTGATCTAAATCTAAACAATTGTCTCAGAAACACTGAGAAAATATTATTACTGCGGTCTACAACTGTATTTCATTACGAGTGATTTCCATATCAATGCAGATTGATTTTGATCATTGAACACATTCAGAGGAAGGGAACTCGAACCCCCAGGGAAGCTTTTACAACAACAGGCTGTCCCCAGTGTTTATAATAATTATTTTAGTTAATTTTCACTTGGTAACTGAATGAAATGTAATTTCATAGTCTATAATGTGATAATATGAAAAAAATTCACTTGAGGAAGGGAAGGGGAGCTGACTTTTCTTCCTTTATTGCAGTTAAGGACAGCATCAGTCCGTTTAGGCCGATTTAATCCAACTGTTTTTCTGGAAAGTCCGGTTCGTTTGGGGAGGTGTGAATACGCAGTAAAACCAAAGAAACAAACTCTGGTCCGCCTACAAACCTCGGTCTCTGTTTGTTTGAAGTGAACTCTGGTGCGGTTTGAATTCATATGAACAGCAAGCAGACTAGAAACCGCTCCAAAAGCAGGAAGTGGACTATAGTCCAGGGCATTCTGGGTAAATACAACCAAAACACAGAGGCTAGCGTTAGCGGGAAAAATTACAGATGAGAAATCTTACTAAACTTTGACGCCACTCCGCTTTTGTTTACATTTCATGAAGAAGGAAGTTGCGTTCATGTCGTCTTCTGCGGTTTTTATGTGGTTTCCTTCAGTGGGTCTTTGTGCAGCGCCCCCACAGGCGAGGAGGGGAACATGTTTCTCAAAAGGCACTGATTACGTCAAACACCTCAAACATCTTAGTTTTGGACAACAGCGATTAAAATTGCTGATTTTGTTTGTGATCGGCTGATTTAGATTATTAGTATGTACAATTTAATGCCCACCTGAGTTCCTCATTGCTCACCTGTGCTGCCTGGAGTCCTGCACTCTTTTTTGATCGTCCTCATTAAACCATCATTTCCACTGTAACCTGGGCCTACCGCGTCAATCCTCACCATAATTCATGACAGAAATATTTTATTTTGCCTCATGAATTGCTTTCCTAGCCTCAACCAGTTGATAATATTCTCAATAAGTTCCATTTTTTGATATTTGCTGCCATTTAAACCACACCAGCTGAAAACAGGAATGTTTCTTTGGAAGACTCTGGTTTGCCCCGAAGCACTAGATCCTCAAAGTAAAGTTTTAATTAATTTTAACATTTGCATAATGAAGAGATGTAGTCTTCCAACGTTACACGCTCTTCAAATGTCGCCGTTCTGTTTGTGCTTTGTTTGGGCAACAATGACGCCATTTGCAATCAACGCCTTTTGGAACCACACCTGCTGAAAAGACAACAAATGTTGCAGTTCTGGTCCCCAATCGAACCGAGTCTGAAAGAAGTGGCACATCAAGTCAAAATGTCTCATCAAAACTGATGCAGCAACAACAGCTGCTTGGTTACGAAAACTGCAGCAACGTAAACAACGTCAAAACCGCTAATCCCATGCAGCGAGGCGGTGATTGCTGAAAACAAACTGCGCCTTCAGGGACATCTAAATATTCTCCATTAGGGCAACAGCAGTGCTTTTCCTCTGCCAGGCGTTTGACATTTGATGTGGAAAGAAGTGGCGTGAGTCAGAGCCGGGTCAGAATCTATATTTAGACCTGCCGCAGCTAAATCTGTGGGCGAACATTGCCCATTTGTCGATTAAATATGAACGCTGACAGTTTACAGAAACCATAATGGATTTTCGAGCAACCTTATCAAGAATGTTCTTTGAAGAGCAGCTGTAGCCTGGAGGCTTTTCACTAAATTCAAAGAGTAGATTCCCAGTAGGACTCGGTTTTTTCTTTCTACTACTAACAGGTGAGAGGGCACTGAGTCAGCTAATCGAGAGAGTTCGATTATTTTAGAGTCTCCAGGTCAACTTTGGTGCTCACATTAAATATAATGTTGCCTCTGTGAGGGATTTATCAACACTGGACGCTTGCTAACCAGCCCCAAAGAGCTGGATACTCAAAATAAAGTTTGAATTAATTTTAACGTCTGCATAATAAAGAGATCCAAGCTAATTAAGTAAATTCTCTCTTTGAAAAATAGATAACACTGACCTCCCCAGTTGAATTTAAAACAAAGCCAAGAACACTAGAATATTCATTAAAAAGCAACGTTTATGTAACACTGAGAGGTTTATATGACTTTGCTTCCCAAAGGAAGGGAACCAGAAGCCAAGGTTGAAATATATAGTTTTAGCTTCAAAGCATAATACTGTATATTAGGTTAATTAATGCTGGAGCCTAGGGGGTCTGAATGAAGCGCAGCAGCAAAATATGCTTACATCAACTGGATATTTGCTTCAAGTTCAAGTCATTTCAGCTTTATTTTCTTTATCCAGGAATTGCCGGTGTGAAAATGATTTCAGCAGGTGTGACAAGCCTTTTAAAAGCAGCAAATCTTGGCAGGAGTCTGTTGGTGGGAGTTGACACAACGCCAGGAGGAAAAGATACCAGCAATGACCTTAGAGAAGCAATCGTTGCTGCCTATCAATCTTGGAAGGGTTAGAGAGCATTTCCAACTCTCTGAAGTCTATCACGGTATTGAGACACAAGATTATGTAGTGGAAAGTGCCAATCTTTCCAGGAGTGGCCTTCCTATCAGATTAACTCATGGTCAAACTGTACAATACTCAAAGAAATTGCACAAAAAACATTGGAGACTCTTCACAGTTCTTGACAAAACAATTAAAGCACAAACCACAAGACTTCTGGAACAATCGTCTATGGAGAAACGAGACTAAAGTAGAGATTTTATCCCTTGTACAGTGGATAGGATGTAATTAGGGCTGATTTGGATTTGCACTTAAGTTGACAAACAAAGTTTTCTAGAGTCAAACATGAGGCGGTCAGGCTTTGGCACACAATCCTCGGCAGAAACTTTACAACATGGCTGACTAAGGAAAAGACCATGACTTGGTTAAATTGACTTAACTTTGGGGACGATAAAGGCTGTTTCTATTCTATATTAGATATTTAGAGAATAATCTCTGTGAACCTCAGACATTATTCTCTGGACCAGAATCCTTTCATAGCAATGCTTGTGCCTGATGTGTTTCCATTGACTTTATAATTGCACAAATTGGAATTACGAAAATAAATATGGTTAATATAAGCATGTCTATTTAAAAAAAACAAACTATTTGATTAAAGATTGTTGTGATAGGATGAGGTTGTTTGTTGCCTGTATTGAAAACTAGAATAAAAACACTTTTTCGTCACAGGAGTCACTTGATCAACAACCAGATGTTACTACAGGCAGAAACGACAAAGAAGACGACAGGAAGTGGTAGAATAATTAGGTTTTTAATGGCTTACCATGTAAACAGGTGGGATGTTAATTGCTTTTCTTATTTAATTGAAACATTGCAATTCCGAAATTGAGTGTTTTCAACATTAGCTGAATATCAACAGAGTTTTGTACACATTTCTAATAGAAACTCCTCCGAATTGAACGGTTTCCATTGACCAAAAAATTGTGCAATTTAGAATTTTGAAAATAAATTAACTTAATGGAAACACGCCAATTTTGAAAAAAGCTAATCTTTTTATTGATAAAAGGTTTTCACGTTAGGATCAGGTGGTTTTTTGATTGCATTGAAATTTATTTATTTTGCAAAACTGTAATTGAAACAACTTTTTCGCATCACGAGTCATGATCAACCGGATGTTACTACTGCCAGAAACGACAAAGACAACAGGAAGTGGTAAAATGATGGCGTTTTTTAATGATTTATCAAGTGAACAAAGATAATCACTTGTGATTTTAATTATGTTTCTTTTTTTTAAAAATGTGTTTTTCAACATTTGCAGAAAATTGACAAAGTTTTGTGCACATTTGTAATGGAGATGGATCTAATGGTTGCGGTGCTAAACATGGTTCAACAACCTGTTGGGTTGTCTGTGGAACAAATTTACAAATTAATTGGCTGATTAGAAAAAGCCAGATGGAGATAATTCTACTTTAGCTTTATCTTTGTTTAATAAAATATTACAGAGTCCGTTGGATGTTTATGTATGCTTTAAAATCGACGAGTAAAGCCCAGATTAATTTCATTTTGTCCTGAAATGGTAGAACTGAGTTTGACACCGTCGGCCATTAAAGGACACATTGGTATGGCGTTTTGCTAATGGATGATAAGTCACGGACAGGACGAATCATCAGTACCATGAAGAAGAATTTCATACAAAGGTGAGCCCAGTGTCATGTTGTTAATAGCAACAATTATCCATCAACCAGCAAATGAACCATCAGCGTTTACTGCCAGCTCTCCATCACACAAATCAGTCTTGATGGCTGCATGGAACAAGCTCACAGCCACCTTTAGATCTGCTCTAATGTCAGATCCCATTCCTTTAATCCCCCACATCCACCATTAGCACAGTCGTTAACCATTTTTGTACCGGTGCCTTTCTAAGCTTTAGCTGGAAGTTGCGTCACCTCCCTTTGGGCCACATTTGGAGCTTTTTGCAGTGGAGCGTGCTGAAATGGCTGGGCAAAATAAAGAAGCACAGTAATATGTCAAATTAGGTGCCTAGCAAAGTAAAGTCTAAAAATATCACACAGCACAGATATGTACAAGGAAGCCGTGTGTTATATCTTTGCTTTGGAAACCATCTAATCTGTTTATAAAGTTGGAAAATAAACTGGGAAACATCTCCTAACTAATTAGAATAATTGGCATCAGCTTAACAGAATGACTGGGTACAAAAGGAGAAGGGGTACTTAAGGAGACAAGGGGAGGAAGACGATGTGGGATAATTGTTTAGTAATTTCAGAATAACAATTCTGAGAGGTAACTTTCAGTGCAGCTACGGGTTTCATTATTTATGTCTTCCTTATTTATGTCTCAGAAACATTAAAGAAATCTTTGAACATTCTGTAATCTGCCTAAAAATGATTGATGCTCTTTCAAACTTTGGTGAAACTTTAGTTTATTTATGTGTAATAAGTTGAACATTTAACTACAGGGCATGACTACAGCGTAGGGCATTCTGGGTAAATACAACCGCAACATACAACAAATGGAGAGGCTAATGCTAACAGGAGAAATAGCTCGTCGTTTTTTTTACCAAAGACAAAAGAGAAATCCTACAACAGCTGAAATGGGATGCCACTCCATTTTTGTTTACATTTAGTTTGTATCTTCTTCTGAGATTTTTGTGTAATTTCTTTCAGTAGTTCCTGATACAGCGCCCCCACAGGCGAGGAGGGGAACAGGTTTAGATTGTTTGATACAGTACCATATCAAGCAATCCAAGAGAACCACAGAAGTTAAAATGTAACAAAAGTTGCAACTTTGGACCACAATCAAACTGAACATACCAGACTACCAGGTGTGAAAACCTAGCAACTTCAGCTCAGTCTGTTACCTAGCAACCCAAGCAGAGCTCTAGAACATTTGGTCAGCTGGTTTTGCTGCTGTAATGTGCAATACAATGGCTGCTGGAAAAGACAAGTGTTTTGTTGTTTGCTTACCATCCAGAAACCACTTTTTGCATTCTTGTTGGTTGTGCAGGAGGCTCCACTGCTGCTTTTCAAAGACATAGAAGTATAAAAAGAAACAACACGACGCTTTAAGAACCTCCAACACGCCTAAACTGATGAAGAAAAACTGAAACCAGGATCTGTACTGTTTTCCCACAGTAAAATTCAAGCATTTTCAAGGAACGTTTTCAAGCTTTTCCAGTACCAAGTAGTTGATTTCCTGTAGAGATACACTACAAAAACACAAAATCTTACCAAGTATTTTTGGTCTAGTTTCTAGTACGCTTGAAATAAGACAAAACAAACTGAAAAGGTACTTTTTAGCAAGATATAGGAGCTTGTTTTAAATGAAAGATCTTAATTCAGAGATTCCTTGTACAGGCCGACCTCTGGAACAATACACGTCTTTGCCTGTCTCAAAACTGTTGTGTCTGTCCGATCAGTTTCCAGACCGCTACCTAAATGTCCGTAATATTCAACGTACATGTCACACTGGTTGCTTTTTTTGTCCTTAGCTACATTCCTGACCGTATTTAAAAATAAAAGTTGTACCTCCCATATGACGAACCGTTGAACAAACCTCTGCAGCCTCTGGAGGTAGGATGTGAGGTTTTGATTTGGATCATTAAAGAAGTCCTCCAGCAGAGCCGCTTTAATTCCTGGCAGTGGGAGCTATTCTTGCTGCTCTTTGTCACTCATGCGCTCCCACACAGTCACACTCAGCTCATTCTCCATTTGGTTACCATCACTGTCCAGTAAGCCTCTCAGCCATTATCTCCGGGAAGAATCAGCGGCTGATCTCTGCTCCTAAAAATGTATTGCTGTTCTGTCATAATGTCGTTCAGACCGTCTGCGGCTTTCACTTCTTCCTCGTTGTCAGGAAGGGCTCGGCCCTGGCCTCCATCAACCATCTGCTAACCCCGCTTCAGCATCGACACCAGTGTTGAGACAACAAGGGCAGTTCAGAGTCATCCTGGTTTTCATTTGCAAAACTACTCTGACTTTAATTTTGTGTTTCTACTGCTTCTAAAAACAACCCAAAAAAACCCACTAAGATGGGGGGTTTTTTGGCAATAACTTCATGGGAGGTTTTTTTGTTGTTGTCTTGAAAATAAGCCGTTTCAAAAATAAGTTGTATTCCATGTGCTGTTACCTAGCAACCCCAGCCAAGCCTAGCCCCGTTGCCTAGCAACCCCAGCCAAGCCCAGCCCCGTTGCCTAGCAACCCAAGCTGAGTTCCATTTGAAATAAAACAAAACATACTCACAAGTAACTTTTCAGCAAGATATAGGAGCTTGTTTTAAGTAAGTAATTCTTTAATTTTGAGAAATAAATTCACTTATCACATGGTAAGAATATTTTGTTACAATTTAAATAATCAGCCAGTGGAGCTAGCACTTTTTCATCAATATTAAGGAATTATTTACACAAAACAAGTCGATATATCATGATGAAAAGTTACTTGTAAGTTGAATAAGACAATCTAAGATATTAGCACTAGAACGTAGACCAAAATGACTAAAGATTTTGTGTTTTTGCAGTGTACTTGAGTACAGTTCTTTCCATTTGATAGATAATTTTCAATTTTTGTTGTGTGCTATCCTGGGACAAACAAAATTTCCCCCCTTTGGGGATCAACAAAGTATTGTTATTATCATTATGTTCTTAATTTAACTAGAGACTATTTAACATATAATGTAAATCCACTATATAACTGTCAAATTTGACAGTAAAGCTTCTATAAAGTGAGAAAGAAACCCGGCTAAAGGCATAAAGTAGCATGAATTTATTAGCAACCGATGGGCTTGTGGACTTTGCCGTTCTGTCAGCTTTGTTTACCTCTTTAATTCGCAGAAGAGTTGATCTGATCTCCATTCTTCCCTCACCATCTGTCTGTGTGGACTAAGATGTTCTCCCGTTCTCACCGTGGAGTGGTTCACGTCCCCATTGACGAGAGATTTTAATTTGCATTTCATATCAAAGTACAAATTACTGGCTTGTTTATGAGCCGGGGTTTTACATCAGAATTACAGCAGGATCTTTTGGGCATTCTGAGGTTCATAAAAAGAATTAAAAGACCCTGTGTGTTTCTGTACATGCATGTTTTTGATTAATAAATGTTCCAGACAACAGGCCTGAGAGCTCTGATTGCAGAAAAGAGTAGCTGTACGTCAGGTGTGAAGATCCCTGCAGAAATGTTCACATTATTAACTTTTTAATCAACAAGAGGCCAAAATTAAAGCAGAGAAGATTACACAAAGTTCATGAGGTGTTCAATCATAAACAAAAACATTGAACAGCTTGGAAAATTAATCCGGGACTTTCTGAAGAAAATTGCTAGATGTCATTAAGCTGGTCGTGTTGAATCCTACTTTTATTAGTTTAATTAAATCCATTTTTATATAGTGTGGTCTGAAGGCACTTAAGAAAAACATTCAATTTGTATTCATAAAATTAAGTCAATTGTAAATACATAATGCATTACAATTGAATACTAAATAATCCAGTTAGGCTTAGTTCATTATTCAAATTGGGAAAGAAATAAAACATTTTGCTTTGAAGCAAAAAAAACGCAATTTCACAATCACAATGTCTCCATTAAATATAAAACATAATTAAAATCATGTGAATAAGTTTGTTCACATAATAAGTAATTAAAAATCACCTTCATACCACTTCCTGTTGTCTTCTTTGTTGTTTCTGCCAGTAGCAACATCTGGTTGTTGATCACATGCTGTAAAAATGTGATTCCAGTCCATTTTGTGAAATGCACAACATTTGATACAGCTGAAAAAACACCTCTTTCTAGTATAAAAACTTAATGGATTTTTTTTTTTTTTTTTGCAAAATTGTTTTTTCCATTAAGCTAATTTATTTTCACAATTTCAATTTGTGCAATTTTGAGGTCAATAGAAATTCAGCTAGTAGCTTTA